ATGTCACCACACTTGGCTAATTTTTTTGTTGTTGTTGTTGGTAAAGACAAGGTCTGTTGCCCAGGCTGATCTTGAACTCCTGGGCTCAAGTGATCCTCCCAGTCCTCGCAAAATGCTGGGCTTACAGGCATGAGCCACCATACCTTGCCAGGAATGTAGATTTACTTTGTAACCCTAGCTACTTCTTCAGTATTTTTATCTACATTTTAACACAGTAGCTTAAATGTTTTATCCAGTGCCTACCATGCATAAAGTTTTAAATCATGTCACTATATTAATTATTGACATATATTGGCTTTTTAGATGCTCCACAGGTCCTCCAAAACCAGTGAACTTTGGTGTCTCATGAATTGCAGGTGGTCTTAATTAGGTGACCCAATACTGAGCGCAGTGAAGTCATGAACCCCAATGCCTGCTGTAACCTCAGACAAGTTGCTTCATATTCCTAAATTTGTGTTCTCATCTGTAAGATGAGGATGATGATATCAATGGTACCATTGCCGGAGAGTTCTGAGGTTTAATTAAATAAATTTGTAAAATGCAAAGTTCTCACTTCATGTTACCTCTTGCTGCCATGGCTACTGTTTCCCTCATTGACGTCCCCATGAACTCTCCCAGTTACCAAACTGAGTGTGAATTATTAGAAAATTGGCAGCCTAGGCAACATGAGACTCCATCTCTACAAAAAATTAGTCAGGTGTGTTGGCATGTACCTGTAGTTCTAACTACTCAGGAGTCTGAGGCAGGAGGATCACCTGAGCCCAGGTCAAGGCTGCTGTGAGCCATGACCAGACTACTGCACTCCAGCCTGGTTGACAAAGTGAGACCCTGACTTGAAAGAAAGAAAAGAGAGAGAGAGAGAGAGAGAGAGAGAAAGGGAGGGAAGGAGGGAGAAAAGGGAGGGAAGGAAGATGGGAAAGAAAGAAAAAGAAAAGAAAATCAGTGTTTGCTGTAATTGACTCAGAGTCATGGTTTTTCAGTTCTTTAAGGGTGCTTTATACAATCTTTAAGTTGCCTGTGAACTTGTCATGAACTCCCCCAAGGACGCCTGGAGGCCGTGCTCTGGGCTACTTTCTGCAGCAGCAGAATCTCCCGGGCTGCCAGCTGGTCAGGGCAAAGTGTGCTTCTGAGCCTTGTGCTAGGCTCTTGGCAGAGAATAATCCCACTAAGTCAAATTAGCTTGGTGTTTTCATCATTGGAACATCTTGAACTATAAGTCCAAAGATTTATGTAATTTTTAGACTTCAGTCCCAAATTTCAGAAATGTCATGCTCTCCTAAGATCTGTAATTTCCTTGTCCCCAAATTGAGCATTCTGAACATTCACATTTTGACCTTAGGGCACACCCATGCTGACTCCAGTTGTAAGATTCTGGGGCTGTACATTCCAGGCTTCCTCCATTACCAGGAAGACTTTGCAGAACGTGTTTTAAAATAATCATTCCATTGCTTGACTAAACTCTGGTGTGGCCATGTGCTCTTTGAACTATGGCCACCGCCATGTTTCCTAAACTCTGGCTCCCTTCCTTACCTTGGAGGAGTGAATCAATCTCTCTCTCTCTCTCTCTCTCTCTCTCTCTCTCTCTCTCTCTCTCTCTCTCTGTCTCTCTCTCTCTCTCTCTCTCTCATTTGCTTTCTAAATAAACTACATTTTCCAATCTAAAAAAGAATAATCATCATTACCATTCGTATGGTCATTGTATATATATTAGCTCACCCAAGAGCGAAGTGATTTTTCAAAAGCAGACACACCATGCAGTTTTTTAAAACTTGCTAAGAGATGACTAACTGAGTGACTGGAAGTTACACGAAAGAAGGCCCAGAAGCTGGGCTAAGGAGGGACTAGATGGAGGAGAGAGAGAATGAAGGGGAGGTGAGGAAGCGAGGGCTGCTGGGTGCTGAGGAGTAGCAGCAAAGGCCAGGCAGGAGCCTTCTCTGTGGGAGGCTGGCTGTGATTTCCGAGATGGGAGGCTGCTGGTGTCCTCCTTTCCCTGGTTCCTCAGCTCCCACGTCCTCCTCCTTGAGATCTGGTCCCACGCACCCTCCGTGAAACTGGGCCCACCAAGACCACTGAGACATCCCCGGTACCAGTCCTCACCCACCCTCTGTAGATGTCCAGCACCCTAGCCAGTCTTGCACGTGTTCCCTTGTCTCTGCCCCTTTCTCTCTCCAAGTGTCTCTGCTACCTCTGACTTCCAAGGTAGTTTCTCAGCCCACATCTTTAAAAATTCTATTTCTGGCCAGGCATGGGGGCTCACATATGTACTCTTGGCACTTTGGGAGGCCAAGGTGGGAGGATCCCTTGAGCCCAGGAATTCAAGACCAGCCTGAGCCACATAG